GAACTTGGCGGAGGGGCGAGCGACCTACCAGGATTAGTGAGGGACTCTGGGGTCAGTTAACCGCAGCTTGGGTCGCTCCTGATTATGAGAGGAAGATGCAAACGAACCGGGTGAACCGGGCGATGGAGGGTCCAAGGGGAGTTGTGCTTCATATTAGTGGATTGGTTCCCCATACGGAGCATGACAAAAGGCATGTAAGATTTTTTTATATAATTAAACATTAATTCAATTTTTGGATGATCAAATTTTTTAGCATTAACCATTTTTGAACGCTACATAGGCCAATGAGTTAAGTCGTGCTCCATCCATTACGAAGTTGCATTTATGAACTCATCGATGCTCGGGGACTGCGCAGTGGGCCTTAGAACATTCCCTGTGTGTTGTTGTAAGTTAAAAACATTAAATTAAATATTTATTTTGAATCTAACGGCTGAAAGTGTTGATTAAACGTTGGTTTTCATTATACAGGAGGAGTTTGAGTAGCTCTGAGAGAGACACTTGACCTCTCAGGCCTAAACTTCTGCCATCAACAGTAGTAGTCATTTTACCACTGTGCACTCAAAGTACAAGCTTTGGGCTCGGGCAGCAGGGAGGAAGAAGGGTATGGTTTATGGCCTTGGAGTGAAGGGCATAACCTTCGAGGTCGAGCTCTCCCGTGGTTTCGTTCTTAGTTACCCAAGCTCCTTACAACCATACTAGGAGGCTCTTGCAAAGGAAGAAGCTAAAATAAGTGAAGAGATCCGCCAGTTTCTCGAGTAGATGCTAGAAAGTCAACATAGAGTTGAGGATTCTATAGCGCACATGACAGATACCTTAGCAAATAGCCGGGGCAAGCAACTGATACATCTGTGCAGAAGGAGGAGGAGGAGGAGTAGTAGGATGGAGATGATGAGTATTTTTTATGTTTTCTTTTATTTGTAAGCGTTCTGTTGAACAGTTGTTGTGAAATATTTTGGATTAGCTTTATTATTCTTATTTGGGACGATTTGTGAAAGTACTTTCTGTTTATTAATGATAATGTTTAGAGATTTGATCTTTGATATAAATATTCTTAATGTGGTATGTAATGTGAAGTGCGTTTTTGTGCAAGTTGTACATACGTAAATAGTATTCTAATTTTTTTTCAGCATTACAAGTTTGCATCGGATTTGCGTCCATTTTCAAACGCAAAATCCGATGGTACATCGACAATTAGAATTTTTTTGTTCTGCAATATTCTTTGATGAAAATTAGACTGTTATCTGATGCTAATATTCTTTGTCTGATATTTTAAGACGCAATTTTGACGCTTGTTTCGTATAAAAAAATTCGACACAACAAAGACTCAAAACTGACAGAAATTATTTACATCAGAATTGTTCGACGTAAATTGGAAAGAAATAACATTACTAACCCCAAAATTAATGTTGAAAAATTTGAACGTAAATCAGACTCAAATCCAATGATAACCCTTAAATATCACTGGATTTGCGTCCGATTTATGTCTGATACATCTGACGGAAAAATGCTTAATTCTTGTAGTAGAACGTGATGGTAGATTTGTGATTCACCATGTCACCGACCCGGTCGGCATCCGAGAATGTTTGAAGAAGGTCGCCATGTGTGATAACAATGCCATAATCAAGTGTGCAATGTAGATAGTGAAGAATATGTTTAAGAAGTTGGAAGTGATATACTGTGGGCTTATGCATATGCTTGCATATTTGGTTCATCAAGAAGAAGATATATGGCATGGTAATTGTGAAGTATTTTAGATCTCAGGCAGCCCTTCGATATTATGTTCGATTATCCAAGTGGTGTGTGGTATTGGTGTGTCAAGCTTCTTACTTAGAAGAGAGGTAGAGACTGGTTTGCATCCCGCCATGGCCATCTCTTGAAGGGTGTTTCTAAGGTAAAATTGTTGACCAAGAAACATTAATTGTGTCGTTCGTGATACTTCAATACCTAGAAATTTATTTATCTCACCCAGTTTCTTGATTTAAAAGTGATTGGAATGATTTGTGATCAGTTCTCAAATAATTTCCATACAATCTCCGGTTACCAGAATGCCATCTACATAGAATAGAAAGAATATATTGAATGTTGGTTTGCGTAAAATGAGTAGGGACAAATCGACATGGCTAATTATAAAGTCCAATTGAATAAAAAATTTTGAGATTGTGGTATACCGATGTCTAGGAGGATGTTTGAGGCCATATAGAGCTTTCTTGAGAAAGCACACAAGCTGAGGGAATTGAGTATCCGCAATACATATTTGTTATCACATAACTATATATATAT